GGGTCCAGCGCAGATCCAAGAGATATTTGCGGACGTTCAAGGGTTTAGATCTCTCCTTCTTTCGTTGCTATATTCGTGATGCCACATATTCGAGCTCACTGTTGATTGCGATCGAATGTAAATGGTCTCCATTATTCAGCCTGACACCCTACGCATGTTTTCGGATTGGACCGAAGTCCGAGGCTGTGTATGGCACTCGTTGAACGTGAGAGCAGTGGCCCACTCGCTTTGCGCTAATCGGACTTGCTAGTCGCACTCGTACAGTTGAAACGTGTGCTGCACGATACCCCACATATTCATTCTGGACCAGTGCAGCCCGTGCATTGCCCCACGACAAGGTGGCCGCAGAGGGCGTGGGAAAGGGTGGAGAGGGAGGGAGGAAGGCAGGGGAAGAGGACGAGGAGGAAGGAGGTTAGTGGTGGGGGGGGCAGGGGAGGAGGAGGAGGAGGAGGAGGAGGAGGAGGAGGAGGAGGAGGAGGAGGAGGAGGAGGAGGAGGGAGGAGGAGGAGGAGGAGGACGAGGAGGACGAGGAGGAGGGAGAGGAGAGGAGGAGGAGGAGGAGGGAGGAGGAGGAGGAGGAGGAGGAGGAGGAGGAGGAGGAGGAGGAGTAGGAGGATGGTGCCTCACCCTGTGGAGAGGAGGAGTAGGAGGAGGAGGATGAGGAAGAGAGAGGAGAAGGAGGAGGAGGAGAGGAGGAGGAGGAGGAGGAGGAGGAGGAGGAGGAGAGGAGGAGGAGGGGAGGAGGAGGAGGAGGAGGAGGAGGAGGGGAGGAGGAGGAGGAGGAGGAGGAGGAGGAGGAGGAGGAAGGAGGGGGAGGAGGAGGAGGGGAGGATGAGGAGGAGGAGGAGGAGGAGGAGGAGGAGGAGGAGGAGGAGGCAGGAGGAGGGAGCTGAGAGGACGTTGACGACGAGGGGGCGAGGGGTAGCGATGACAACGAGGTGGCCCGTGCCCCGCCCCGTTCCGAGGACGTCTCTGGCGCCGCGGCGCGCGAGGTGGACCCGCGCGCTGCGCGCACGCGCGCGCGCGCACTCCGCGCTCCGCGAGCCTCAGCTTGGGCGTCGTCGTCGTCGCCGCCGCCGTCGTCGTCGTCGTCGTCGTCGTCGTCGTCGTCGTCGTCGTCGTCGTCGTCGTCGTCGTCGAAGTCGTCGTCGCCGCCGCCGCCGGCCGCCGCCGTCGCTCGTCGTCGTTCGTCGTTGGTCGTCGTTGGTCGTGGATCGTCGTTGGTCGGTCGGTCCGTCGATCGTCGTCGTCGTCGTCATCGTCGTTGTCGTCGTCGTCGTCGGCGGCGGCAGCGGCGGCGGCGGCGACGGCGGCGCTTGGACGGCACCGCCGTCGCCGTCCCCGTCCCCGTCCTCGTCGTCGGTCGTCGACAGTCGTCGTCGATCGTCGTCGTTCGGTCTGTTTGCCTGTCTGTCGGTCGGTCGGTCGGTCGGCTTGTCGGTCGGTCGGTCGGTCGGTCGGTCGTCAGCCGATGGGAATCCCTGCCAAAAATCGGTTCCCGGACCCCGCAGGGGCTCTGCCTTTGCGGGGCGTCGCGCAAAGGGGGGGGGTGATCAATGAGGGGGGGGGCAGCGAGGGCTGCCGAGAAGGGGGCCTCCAGGGCCCCTGGAAGGAGCCTGGCGGGGGCCCAAGGTGGTGACCTCAGTAGGGCCCGAGAAGTGTACCTTTCTTCCCGTGTTTGTCGCCCTCCCAGTTATGCGACGCCCAAGCCCCCCACATGGGGCGTTCCAGGAAGGGTTTCGCTTTCGACGATCGAAGGAGGTGTGATCGCTTCCTCGGCGGAAGGCGGCGGAGGCTTGCAGACAAGGGGGCCTCAAGGGCGCCTGAAAGAGGCCCCTCGGGGGCCCCCAAAGGGGGCCCTAGCAGGGCGCGAGAAGTGCACCTTTCTTCTTCCCCCCATCCTTATCGCCCTCCCACTGTGCGACGCCCAAGTCCCCCATACAGTGGAACCCCCTGCCATGAAATACCCTGCCTGCCTCCAGGGTGTCCATATCTCGCCCCTGTAAGCTTCCGCCCCCCCCCCCCGTGAAGCGACGCCCAGGCCCCGGCCCCAGCTCTCCGACCCGCGCCCCGCCGTGGCCGACGAGGGCCTCCCCACGCGAAGCGACGCCGCCGCCGTCGCTTCGCCGCTCCGCCCGGCGGCCCTCCGCGCGCGCGCGCGGCCGCAGCCGCCGCGCCCCCGCTCTGTCTGTGCCCGCAGCCGGCGCCGTGCGCTCCTCGCGGGCGCCCCGCGGCGCCGGCAGGCCGCCTGGGGGGGGTCGCCGCCGCGGGAGAGGTCCACCGGGACCCAGACCCCCTCGGGTAATGAAAAAATCATGACGGGAGGTTTTTCTTAATTTTCTGCCTTTCGAGGCCCTAACCGGCCACTCGGGACTGTCAAAAAACGACTCCGGATGAAAAACCGGTCCCGGGGAATGTGTCGAGATCTCTGGGGGTCGACGTCATGAAAAAATCATGACGTCGGGGGTCTGGGGATGCCGCTGCAGGGGACCCCCCTGCCAAGAATCGGCTACACGTCAGAGTGACCTCTCGCGCCGGAGTGACCTCTGGTGCGGGCACAGTGGGGTCCCCCGATCACCGAGTGCGATGCGACAGCAGCGTCTTGCGCGCCTGGCTTTGGCCCCCCCGCGGCCCCCCAAACGCCGCGCACCAAAGGCCACTCTTACCCAGGGTCACTCTCGCTTGTAGCCGAAAGAAACACCCTGCTCGCCTCCAGGGTGCTCTGGGTTTCTTGGGTTCCGATGTTTCTGCTGTGGGAAACGCGGCGTTCCCACACCAAGAGTCAATGGACGTCCTGGGGTCTCAGGGTTGGGCTTCTTGTGGTTTCTCGTTTTCGCCTTTTTTGGGCCTCCCTGGAGGTCCTTGTCGTCACCGCTGGAGTCGCCTCGAAGTGTTGGTCAGAATGCACCCGGGAGAGGTCCAGGGAGTAGCGGCATCGGTATCTTTTGGTTTCCCCCGCCGTCACCGTTGTCGCCGCCGCCGCCATCGCCGTCGCTGGCGTCGCACTTGGGGGCCTCTGATGGAGCGTCTTGGGAGCCTCCCAGGGGCTTCTTGAGGGTCTCTTTCGGCGTCTTCGGGGCCTCTGGGGGGCCTGCTGGCTGTCTTGGGGCCCCATCTTGGGATGATGGGCTCCGAATGGCAGCTCGAGTCCTCCCCCTTGGGGTCTTTCTGACGTAGGGGCTTCGGGGGCACTCTTTTTGGGGCCTCTCGGACGCTGCGCGCTCTCAAGACCCAAGAGGGCAGCATGCGAAGGCCATACAAGGACCCTAATTCGGCTTTTCGGTGACCTTGGCCTCCCAGGCCAGCCGCCCGGGGCCCAACATGACCCCAATAAATCGGCGGCGAGCGAGGGGGAGAGGTGAGAAGGAGAAGGCCTCCTCAGAAGGCGGCGGGGCTTCTCAGAAGCCCGCCGGTCTTCTGAGAAAGTTGATTGTGCGTCTTCGGGGAAGGCCTCGAAAGTTTCTCAGAAGGCTGGGGAACCTCCGAGCCTTCCGAGAAGGCCTTCTCCTTCTCACCTTCCCCCCCCCCGGGCGCGCCGCCTGAACAGGACCCCCGAGAGAGCCCCAGGACGGGGCACCCGCTGCCATCGTAGGGTATATGTGGGAGGTTTGGACATCGAGCCTCGCTTGGGTGGCCTCTCGAGCGCCTGGAAATCAGGTTTTTTTGGGGGAGGAGGATGAGGAGGGGGAGGAGGATGGAGGAGGGGGGGGGAGGATGTCAAGGAGCCCTCTTGCCGTACAGCTCCAGGAATCTGCGTGTCTTTGGCTGCTGCCCTCCAGCCACGATCCCCGTGGCCGTCGCAGAAGCTCCGAACCTCAGGTTCCCGCGTGCTCCGTGGCCACCTGCCAGGAGCAGGCCCTCGGGCCCGAGACGAGGCAACATTGAGGGGCCTGTTTTCCACCACCACCACCATACGTTGGATGGGGGGAAGGGAGGAGGAGGAGGAGGAGGAGGAGGAGGAGGAGGAGGAGGCGAGGAGGAGGAGGAGGAGGGAGGAGGAGAGGAGGAGGAGGAGGAGGAGGAGGAGGAGGAGGAGGAGGAGGAGGGAGGAGGAGGAGGAGGAGGAGGAGGAGGAGGAGGAGGGAGGAGGAGGAGAGGAGGAGGAGGCGGAGGAGGAGGAGGAGGAGGAGGAGGAGGAGGAGGAGGAGGAGGAGGAGGAGGAGGAGGAGGAGGAGGAGGAGGAGGAGAGGAAGGAGAGGAGGGAGGAGAGGAGGAGGAGGAGGGAGGAGGAGGAGGAGGGAGGAGGAGGAGGAGGAGGAGGAGGAGGAGAGGAGGAGGAGGAGGCCAGGAGGGGAGGAGAGGAGGAGGAGGGAGGAGGAGGCAGCGCAGGCCCTCCTCCATCCTCCTCCTCCCTCCTCTCCTCCATCATCCTCCTCCTCTCTCTACCACCTCCTCCTCCTCCTTCGTCGTCGTCCTCCTCCTCCTCTTCCTCCTCCTCCTCCTCCTCCTCCTCCTCCTCCTCCGCCCCCTCTGCGCGCCTGGAGGTTCGGCGCGGCGCCCCGCGGCGCGGCGGCGCCGCAGGCGGCCACTGCCGGCCAGGACTCGGGCGCGGCCTCCTCGAGTGGAGGGCCGGATCCGGACCTCCTCGCATTGCGAACAACATCTCGACGGCAGGCTTTTCACTATCTTCGGCCTCCTGGGGCCCTTCCCGGGCCTCGGGACCGTAGAATAACGCGACTCGGGGCGAAAAGCCGGTCCTGGGTTGGGTCTGGACCTCTGGGGGTCGACGTAGCGAACAAACTCACGGCGTCGGGGGCCTGGGGAGGAGGATGCGATACAGTGGAAACCCATGCCAAGAAACACCCTGCTTGCCTCCAGGGTGCCCTGGGCTTCTTGTGTTGCGATGGTTATGCTATGGGAAGCGTGGCGTTCCCACACAACAGTTCAGTGTTCCACACGTTTTTGAATCCCTAGTTGTCGTTTCCCTGCCGTCCATCCATGGCTGTTTGCTCAAAGTCTTTTTCCAGGGCATGAAGGAAGCCCTGCGGCCCTTCGTCGAGGCCAGCGCCTCGGGGATCCGCGAGATTGCCCGCGCGGGCTTCCACGCTGGCGCGTCCTGGGCGCTGCTGCCCAGCTGCCCTGCGGCGCCTCCTTGCCCGCCGTACCCGCCTTGCCCCGCGTGCTTCTGCACGTGCGGGGAGGGAGGCGGAGGCGGGGGCGCTCCTGCTGGCGGCGGCGGCGGGGGCGGCGGCCCTCCCTGGTTGGCGGCCGCAGGCGGGCCGGTGTGCGACGCGCTCGCCGACGCGCTCGTCGGGGCGCTGCGCGAGGCGGTGGAGGGCTGTATCGGCTGGGGAGCCGCGATAGCGCTGGTGCTGCTCGCGTTGCTCGCTGATTTCGGTCTCGGACGCCTCAGCCTCGCCGCGGCAGCTCGCCTCGAGCCTCGCGATGGCGCTGGTGCCCAGGGGATCGTCGTGGCGGCTTCTCCCGGGGTGCAGAGCAGTGGTGCGCTACGCAGGGGACGACCTCTGGCACGAGCGGATCCTGCTGTACCCAGCAGCCAGTGAGGCCGCTGGCGCCGGGCTCCCAGGAGCCTGCTGGGTGGTGTACACTCCCGACCACGACATGTACATCGAGGAGCTCGAGGGAGGCTCGCCCGACGACAGTCCCGTCGAGTGGCTGGAGATGCCGCGCGACTTGCGGCTGCCCAGTGGGCTCGGGCGGGCGTATCGCTTCGAGGAGTCTCCGACGGAGGAGGTGATGAAGGGCCTCTACCGTCGGGCCTTCTCGGCCGCCCAAGCCGATGCGGAGGCGCGCGGGGTGCTGCTGGAGGCGCCGGTGGCGGTGCGAACGGCCGCAGGAAGAGACGCGGCGGTGCATGAGGCGCTCGGGGCCAATTTCTTCGGCGGCCGACGGATGACGGGCAAGAGACCGCCTTTGGGGCTGGACCTCGGAGGAGACCACGGAGGCCACGCTGGACCGGGAGCTGCGGCCGCGGAGGCCATCGGCGACAGCGGCGCCCCTGGGCCTGCGGTTGAGGGCACCAGCACGCCGCGCTCGAGCGGCCGCGTCTGGCGAGCAGCCGAGGCCGACGAGCGCTGCCGCATCGCGCTCGGGGACGAGTTAGGGCCTCCTGCTCATTCGCTCTGTGGCAAAGGGCTGTACTTGGCGGCGCCCGGGCGAGCCGTGGTGGTGCACCTGACGGGGCTCGACCAGGACTCTTTCGTGATGAGCATGCGAGGAGGCGAAGGCCACCCCGTCAGTGCTGGCGCCGAGAACGGAGGCGGAGGGGATGCTCGAACCTTGACGGTGAAGAGTGGGCCGCGGGGCCGAGGCCGTGAGTGGCGCGAGGTGGTGGGCGCCTGTGAGGAGGAGCCCTTCGGTGACTTCCCGGTGGCGGGGCCACGGTCAGCTTGGTGGTGCTTGGACTTCTTGCGGCGGCGGCACACCCCCACGGATCATCACTTGATGTTCAAGACGACGGCGCGGCTCCAGTCGGAGCAGTGGGGGGCGCAGGAACACGAGCAGCTCATGAAGTACATCGAGCTGGCCGGCACCTACGACCAGCTGGACCTCAGCAACTGTGCCTTCGCCGAGGCGATCTTTCGGCGGGCGCAGACCATCGAGTGGAGCTACCGCGATCGGTTGCGGGAGGCCAACTCGGCCAGCTCCAAGGACAAGATGAGTCCCGAGGAGTTCTCGGCCTTCAGCGGCTTCAGCAAGGCTGGGGACCTGCTGATGGTGGCCCCCACGCTCCTCGAGTTCGTGAAGGGCCAGGTCGAGAAGGACGCCGCCATCATGAAGAACATCAGGAAGGCTCGAGAAGAACGAGAGCTCCGCCGCAAGGGTCCCAAGGGGGAAGCCGGCGGAGGGAAGTCATGACGGCGTCGCGGGAAGGAGGCTTGAGTGCGGCCGCCTCCTTCTCGAGCTTCAAGGCCGCCGAGCCCCGGGGCTCTCCTGCATGCGTACCTGGGCGAATTCAATTCGACGGAGTTCCAGACCGTCGAGACCTTTTCCCTGTCCCGCTGCTTCGGGGCGGCCTGGCTCCCGCGGAGGGCGTGGCGAGCCGCTCGGTTCGGCGCCGGCTGCTGCGGCGCGACGCTCATGTGGCTGAAGCCAACCGCGCCCTTGGGGCCCTCAATGATCTGGCTGGTCGGCCCGGGGCGCCCGGCGCTCCTGGCCTGGCGGAGCGGCTGCCCCATCGCTTGGTGCATGAGCGCGTTCGTCATGCTGCTGCTGCGCTGGGCCCCCCGCCACCTGGCCTTACTCCCGCAGGAGCCCTCCGTGAGCTCCGCGGTGCTGGCGTGTACGAGGACATCGACTCGCCAGTCGTCAGCTTCGACGATTCCCTCGTCTCGCTGCCTGAGGCCGGCAACGTCCCCGTGCCGCTTGGGGGGCCGGTTGCAGGCGTGGGCGATTTCGACGTCGAGGCAGCAACACACGAGCAGCTCCTTCCACGCAAGGATGCGGAGTCCAACCTCTCCGAGGCTCCGCGACAGCCGTACATGGATGCTATCCTACGAGCTCAGCCACACGCCTATGCTGGGCTGGTGCGGCGCTTGCACGCGGCGGGGATGGTGACCTTCTCAGCCGCGCCGCGTGAGAGGCGCGGCCTCTTCTTCGTGCGTAAGAAGTCTGGCAAGCAGCGCATGGTGATAGACTGCCGACGGGCCAACTGCTGGTTCAGGAGGCCTTCGACAGTCGCGCTGGCGACAGGCTCTGCACTGGAAGAGCTGGCCGTGCCAGAGGGTGAGCAGCTCTACGTCGGTCACGTGGATATCTGCGACGCCTTCTACCACTTCGGCTTGCCTGAGGCTTTCCGTGATTACTTCGCTCTGCCGGCGGTGAAGGCAGGTGATGTGGGGCTGACTGTCCTGGGCGGAAGGTCCCTCGCGCCTGGCAGTCGTGTGTGGCCAGTCCTGGCGGTGTTGCCCATGGGCTGGTCGCATGCGCTGTGCTGGTGCCAGACCATTCACCGCGGGATCGTGAGCTCCATCCCCGCGCTGCTCGACGTTCCGTTCATGTCGGCCAAGAGTGTAGTGCCGCCGGTGCAGCCACTGGCGATGACTATATACGTGGATAATGTTCTCGCCTTGGGCACGGATCCCGAGGCCGTTTCCCGCGCAGTGAAGCTCGTCAACGCTGCCTTGACGTCCAGGGGGTTACCCACCCATGAGGTCTGTATGTGTGATCATGATGCCGACATCCTGGGGTGGGAGATTCGAGGACGAGAGAGAGAGAGAGAGATTCAACCAAAGAGATCAAGGCTGTGGAGACTTCGCCCGGCGCTCGATTGTTTGACAAGCAAGGCCGTCGTGAGTCCAAAAGAAGTTGAGAGAGTGTTGGGCCATTGTACTTTTGTTGCACTTCTTTGTCGTGAGCATTTGTCGATCTTCAGGTCCGTCTATGCCTTCATTCGGCGGCTGGGCCACTGTACCGCGGTCCCTCTTTGGGAGTCCGTCCGATGGGAGTTAAATACGTTCTCGAGTTTGCTGTGTCTGATTTCCAGGAAGCTGCAGGTGTCATGGAGTTCTAAGGTGATGTGCGCGGACGCGTCCTTTTGGGGCTTCGGACTGTTCTGCAAGGACCTCGACAAGGACCTCGTGGGCTCGATGGGCGGTTTCTCAGAACGGTGGCGTTTCTTGGGCGACAGCAAGGTGCTCTCCAGGGCTTGGGCTGCAGGCTCCAGTGAGGACGAGATCATGACGAAGCCTCTGGAGAGCTCCAAGGACTTCCAGCAGTTCGTGGGGGATGAGGAGGCTAGCAAGGAGGCCCGCACGCGGGCCGCTGGACGTCTTCCCGAAGCGGTTCGTGAGGAAGGTTGGGCTGTAGTGGGCTCGCACAAGTGGGGATCTCCGCCTGAGAACATCGTGGAGGGGGAGGCCAGGGCTATTGCGTTTGGGGTAAAGCACATTTGCAGATCCACGAAGGCCTTTGAGTGTCACCACCTCCTGCTATCCGACTCGCTCTCGTCTGTCTTGGCTCTGGGCAAGGGCCGATCCTCTGCCCCCGGCGTCAGCGGCGCGCTGCGCTCCGTGGCAGCGCATGTCGCGGCGACGGGGCTCCGGCTCAGTGCCCGCTGGCTGCCTAGCGAGTGGAACTTCGCCGACGGTCCTTCGCGAGGGCTGCGGCGCGCTGGATACGCTCGCGCTGGAGTCGGCCAGGCTGGAGCGTCGCCAGGCGGCTGCCCCGGCGGGAGAGGCCCGCTCGGTCCCGAGGACCCGCCCGGTGCCGCCGAGCCAGGCGACGTCAGCGCCGTCGCTTCGGAGGCTTCTCTGCGACGACCTGGCTGGCTCGCCACCGCTCTCCGAGGCGCGGGCACCGCCTGCGGCCGACAAGGTGAAGCGGAGGAAGCTGGCCCGGCGCGGAGCCAAGCTGGCCGAAGCGGGGACGCTGGACGTGCTACGGCTGAGCACGGTGCGGACGCAGACAGTGAGGTCGAGGTACCAGCAGCTGGCCGCCGAGTTCGACGAGTGGCTGGCGGAGCAAGGGTTACCTGCGCGGCCGACGTTCTCCTTCGACGAGCGGAGGATGATCCCGCTGGCGCCCGAGGCTGCCGCCGAGCTGGACTGCAGCCTTGCGGAGTGGATGTTGGGGCAGTACCTGGAGGGCGTCGATCACTGGCGCGGAGTGCAGATGCTGGCCGCCCTGCAGTGGAGCGACCCGCGGCTCGGCCGCGACGGCGGGGCTCGTCTGCCCGGGGCCAGGCAGTCGCTCCGGGGCTGGAAGGTGCTGACGCCGCCGTTGACGAGACTGCCGCTCCCCGAGGAGGTCGTTGCCGCCCTGGCTTGCGAGCTGGTGAGCATGGGCCTGTGGGAGGCGGCGGCGTGCGTGGTCCTGTCGATGGTGTTCTACATGCGACCAGGCGAGTGGGGCCGCGTGCGAGTCAAGCACGCGATCGCGCCTCGCGCCTCGGGAAGCCAGGCCCTGCGACAGTGGGCCCTGGTGCTGCACCCACGCGACGGCGAGGAGGCGCGGCCCAGCAAGACGGCAGAGTTCGACGAGAGTCTCGTGCTGGACCTCACCTGCGACCTGTGGCTGGGGGCAGTGCTGCGGAGACTGACCGCTGCGAAGCCGCCAGACGCCGCGCTGTTCAGCTTCTCGGCAGAGGAATTCGCCGCGTTCTTCAGGCGCGCGGCCCGCCGCCTCGGCCTAGAGCCCGCGCCGATGCCATACCTTCTCAGGCACGCCGGCGCCAGCCGAGACTTCGTGAACGGGCTCAGGCCGTTGAGCGAAGTGAAACGGCGGGGTCGCTGGAAGACGGACGCCTCCGTGCGGAGGTACGAGAAAGGAGGAAGGCTGAGCGAGCAGTTTGCGAGGCTGGCCCCAGCCCTCCAGAAGCACGCGCTTCGCTGCCACAGCGTGCTCCCCGAGGTTCTCTTAGGGAGGCTCGCTGCCCCGCCGTTCCTGGCTCGCTAGCTGCGAGAGTTTTTCTAGAGATCTTCTCAGGCTCTGGTCGCCTCGCGCGAGCGATGGCGCGAAAAGGGTATCATGTGGTAGCGTGGGAAATCAAGCACGGTCCCTTGTTTGATCTGCGTGACGTTTCGAGGCAACGTTTGATTCGGGGCTGGATGCAAGCCGGGCTCATTTTAGGTGTGCATCTTGGGACGCCGTGTGGCAGCTGGTCGCGCGCCAGAGATATCCAGCCTGGTCCTCCCCGTCTCCGCTCCGACGCGTGTGTCCTAGGCCTGCCCGACTTGATACCGTCGGCGCAAGCCGCAGTAGACTTTGGAAATCAGATGATGCGCTTCAGTGTTTCAGTTCTAACGGTCGCCCGCCGCCTGCAAGTGCCGTGTTCGATGGAGAACCCTTCGACCTCTCGACTGTGGCTCGCGCCGCCAGTCGCCTCGCTTGTCAGATCCACGCGTTGGTCTTTCGTCAGTGCAGACTTCTGTCAGTGGGGAACCCCTTGGCGGAAGCGCACCAGTTTGTTAGGAACTTACATTGATTTGACCCCCTTGGTGAAGCTGTGTAAGCGCACTCAAGGCTGCTGCAGTCGAACAGGACAGCCCCGCCAAGTCCTGGAGGGGCGTGCGCCCGATCGACGTTTCTGGACCGCCGTCGCCGAGGCATATCCTTCTCGCCTGTGTCAGCAGTTGGCCCGCGCTTTCGATGATGCAATCGTGAGCCGTAAAGTCTCAGCCATGGCTTCGAAATTGTCAATGTAACCTTCAGTAGGTAAATGAAGACGGCCTTGGGGCCATTCGACTTCGTGTTTTTGGCACTGTCCCTTTTGGCGTGTGCTAACCTCGAGTTGCAGGCTTCTGTCGCACGCGTCGCTGGTGGCGAGCTCTCTTCCAGAAAAAGTCGGCGTGCCTTGATGATCGAGGCGCTCCGCGCATGGCAGGTCCAGACAGCTGGGGATGCAGTTCAGTGTTCCACACGTTTTTGAATCCCTAGTTGTCGTTTCCCTGCCGTCCATCCATGGCTGTTTGCTCAAAGTCTCCCTCCCTCCCGCCCTGTTTCTTCTTTCGATTTTTCTGTCCGCAGTTCCTGGCCAGCTGTTGGCGTGTGCTAACCTCGAGTTGCAGGCTTCTGTCGCACGCGTCGCTGGTGGCGAGCTCTCTTCCAGAAAAAGTCGGCGTGCCTTGATGATCGAGGCGCTCCGCGCATGGCAGGTCCAGACAGCTGGGGATACAAATCAATGAACGTCCTGGGGTCTCAGGGTTTCCTTTCTTGTGAGAGGTTTCTGGTGGTCGAGCTCCTACTGCACCAGTGTCAGAGGCCCATAGGTTGACACCAACACTTCGGCGGTGTACTTCCACCGAGGGAAGGATCCCGATCTCAGTGACGATGGCAATACTCGGGCTGCCCAGGTGGCCGGGAAACATTGCCACCAGCGCCAACCTCCAGGATCACCTCCCCCCGGCGGAGACCACGCCCGGTGTTGGCGTTGGTGCTCCTTCTCAGGCCTCCAACGGTACTGCGGCTCGCCCCGGCGAGCCCCATTATCGTCGCCACGGCTGGAGTCTCCTCGAGATCCTGGCCAGGATTCGCCCTCCCAGAGTGGTCTGGGACGTGGCGGTGAGCGGGGTGGGGAACCTGGAAGGTGCGACATCTGCCGCACACCCCAGACCCCTCAGGCGCCATGAAGAAATCACGGCGGGAGGTTTTTCGCTATTTTCGGCCTCCGGGGGCCTTCACTGGGCCTCGCGAGACCGTCAAAAAACGACTCAGGGTGAGAAGCCGGTCCCGGGGAAGGGGTCCAGAACCTTTGGTGGTTGCGTCATGAAGAAATCATGACGTCGGGTGTCTGTGAAGGGGGGTGACCTGAAGTGGGGGTGAAGAAAAGGACCCTGAAGGGGCCCGTAACGGCCCTGCTCCGAAAGGGGCCCTACAGGGCCCCTTTGTAGGGGGCTTTCCTCTCCCCCCCCCGTATCGGGCACCCCCGTTACCACCTGCCCGATGTTGTCCACGGGTTTCGGAGGGGAGCCGCTGGTGATGGGCCGCTGTGCTCCGGGGCAGCGTCAAGGGAGGACCTGAGATCCTGGCATCTCCATTTTGTTCGAGCCATGCGCTTTCGCCCAGATGGGGGCCCCGGGACTCTCGCACATCGATCTGGCTCGGAAGATGGCGCAGACGATGGGGTCTGGGGGCTCCAGCGGTGATTTTTCGCGATGTTGCGATTTTTCCAGACGTCGGATCTCAGGGAACCCAATCCGACGCTAAAAAATTACCCTGGCGACGTACCCAACCCTTGCGCAATGCGGGGCATAAGTACATCAGGTTTGCTACAACGGGGGCGATGACGTAACATGGACGCATGTGATTTTGCGAGCAGCAAACGGAAGGCTCGCGGGCCCCCGGTCAAGATATATCGGCTACGTAATAACAAATCACCACCGTTCGCTGTGCCATGCGACCGTTGAACCCAACGTATCCCGCAGCAGCTCTTGAGAGCCCCCGCGGGATACGCGTAGGCGCAACGTTATGGCCATCGCCTGGCAGATGGTCTGTCTCACAAATCACCCCCGTTGGCTGTGCCATGCGCCCGTTTCGCCTAACGTATCCCGCAGCAGCTCTCCAGAGCCCCCCAGGGACGGCGAGGTCTCGCTCAGGTCCCCGCGGTGCCTCAGTCCGCTGGACCCAGCAGCAGCCCTCGAAAGTTGCGACAGTGTCGCAGATCGCATCCCCTCAGTTCTCAGCCTCCAGTACAGGATCCGGCTCGAATAAGGAACACTTACTTTTCAACAGGGGCTCGGTCGTTCCTTCGGTTTGCATGCGTTCCGCTACCCTTTCCGGCGGCGAGCCCCCTGTGGTGCGCTCCCTGGAAGAAGGCGGGCCTCGTTCCTCCTTTCTCGTTTCTCAGGTCGGGCCGAATCCTGTACGCAGGCCTTGGTTGACGGGCCCGAGCGCTGCTCTGGTGGCGCAGCTCCCCACGCTGCCCCTCATCGCGCACGCCGCTGCCCGCCGAGGCGCGGGAGGCTGGGGCGTCGCCAGGTCGGTGTCGGGCCCCCTGGCGTGCGGAGCCTGAGGCAGAGGGCCGGGACCTCCCGCCCCGCGCTCGCGCTCCGCGCCCGCGCGAGCTCCCCCTTTTGCCCCTCCTCGCCTCCTCCTCCTCCTCCTCCTCCTCCTCCTCCTCCTCCTCCTCCTCCTCCTCCTCCTCCTCCTCCTCCGTGACCTGCGAGGCCCTGGGCCCTGGCCCCCGCCCGCCTTTGCCGATGTCCCTCCCCCCCTCCTCTTCCCCACTCCGAGGCGTCCTCGTAGGAGCGTCCCAGAAGCTTTCCACTCTGCGAGGCCACGTGGCCCCTCTGTCAAGGCCCCCCTGGAGCCTCCCAGCCCTCCCCCGCTCCTGAACCTTCCAGCGCGATCCCCCCTCCTCGTCTTTCCTCCTCCTCCTCCTCTTCCTCCTCCTCCTCCTCCTCCGCTTCCTCCTCCTCCTTATCCATCTCATCCTCCTCTCCAGAGGTCTGCCAGAGGTCCCCAGAGATCCCCAGAGGCCTCCAGATGTCACGCCGATGCCCCGGTCCCCAGAGGCTCGCGAGGCCTAAAGGAAGAGCCAGCAGCGCCCCGAAGCCTTACGCATCGAGCCTCGGGCCTCTTCTTCTTCCTCCTCCTCCTTCTTGGTGCATTTTGTTGATGTCTCGCCCCTTCTCTTCCTGGACCTGGGCCCCTGGGCCCAGGCCGTCTCTTGCCTCTCTCCCCTCCTCCTCCTCCTCCTCCTCCTCCTCCTCCCTCCTCCTCTCCTCCTGCTCCTCCTGCTCCTCCTCCTCCTCCTCCTCCTCCTCCTCCTCCCTTCTCCTCCTCCTGCTCCTCCTGCTCCTCCTCCTCCTCCTCCTCCTGCTCCTTCCTCCTCCTCCTCCTCCTCCTCCTCCTCCTCCTCCTCCTCCTCCTCCTCCCTCCTCCTCCTCCTCCCCCCTCCTCCTCCTCCTCCCCCTGCTCCTGCGGCGCGCCCGCCCCTCACGCCGGGCGGCCGGCTCGAGGGGGTGGCGGGGGGGTGGGGGCGGCGGCGGTGGCGGGGGGCGCCCAGAGACCGGCTCGCGGCAGACGCGGCGACCATGGCCCCTGCGGCCCCCGTGGAGGCGGCGCCGCCGTCGGTCGGTCCGTCGGTCGGTCGGTCGGTCGGTCGGTCGGTCGTCTTCTTCGTCGTCGGTCTTGTTCGCCGTCCTCGTCGCCCGTCGTAGGTCGTCGGTGTCTTCGTCGTCGTCGGTCGTCGTCGGTCGTCGTCGTCGTCGTCGTCGTCGTCGTCGTCGTCGTCGTCGTCGTCGTCGTCGTCGTCGTCGTCGTCGTCGTCGTCGTCGTCCGTCGTCGTCGTCGTCGTCGTCGTCGTCGTCGTCGTCGTCGTCGTCGTCGTCGTCGTCGTCTGTCGTTGGTCGTCGGTGTCGTCTATCGTTATCGTCCTCGTTCAACGTTCTACCCAGTCGGCCCCTCGTACTTCGGCACTGAGTCGCAGAGCTCGCCTGATCACATCTTTGTCCCGTCCGAGGCGGTCTCGTCTACTGTACGGTGCTGCACGTTGCGCAATGCCATGCGGGACCTCCAGGCGATACCAGACTGTCGTCCGAGAGATCATGCACCTATACTGTGGCAAGTACGGTACACCTTGCAGGCGCCACCCCCACCCAAGGGTGGACCAGTGTGGGACAAGGACCTAGTCGTTCGCCTCCTCAGACACGATGGCTTTGGTGCTGAGATCCTGGGGGAGCTCGAACGTCGGTCGGCTTCGAACTTGAGGGAGTGGGAGCGCGACACGACTCGCGCTGATCCCAGTCAATCGTGGGAGAAGCTGGTGGAAGACGTGCGGGCTGCTGCACTTCCCGAGCTGATGAGGACGGCGAAGCAAGGCCCGCTGGCACCACACCTCGTCGCGCGGACCGAGGCCCTCCAGCGGCGCAGGCTGGCCAGAAGGGGCTGCTTCACAGAGGAGCAGCGTCTACAGCTTCGGACCATCGAGAAGGACATCAGGCTGCTCAAGAAGC